ATAAAATATGTGTTAGTGTAGAAATTCTTATAGAAAAAGACTTGCAAGTTACTCTAAGCATAATGTAAGGACAATTTGCACATTAGTGTGGATCGACTATTTGGAAATTGTTGTTTATAAATGTATGGTCTATTTTTCTTGCATAGTAGTTAGTAGTATTAGTTCAACCGGTGTTATAATTTATTTGTATTTAAATGTATATATTTAATTCCTTGGTATCAGACACTTCGATCACTATTATCACGAAAACGAAAGAAAATCACTTATATTTGAAAACTCATTTTCAGATTCAACTTCCTCTCCTGTAACAAATAGAGGAAAAACATTCAAACTTTGAGCACATTCTACATCATATCATGTCAGCCTAAATAAATAATTAATATTAATATTGATATGTACTTAAAACAAATTAACTTACCATCACTCAAATCAAAACAAATTTGATCTCGAGTTACTAAGTCCATCAATTAGACCGTCATGCATTCTATATTTTCCAGAAGAAAGATTACGCAGTCTTCTACGTTTATATGCAGGTGCTATAGATTGAGATATGTCCCGAAAACCTATAACATAAATAAAAATTTGATAAGACTCATGTAATTTAAATATTTCTAAAATGATTTGACTGAAATTTATCAACATTCATATTGCAATTAAATATGTATAGTTAAATTTGTAACCGTACCATTCGTAACATTGCTCAATGGTGTTCGTGAGGAAATTGGAGAAGTACTCATGTGATCGTTCTCACTATTCCGAGCTTGAGTATTTTTCGTGTGCAACTAAGACATTCCACACTCGTCATAAAACATTATATAGAAATGATATTTTGACCGTATATGAAAAATATTTTAATTCTAATATTGAACATTCATACCACTCATTAACTTCACAGTTGTCCCTTGTAGATTAGCTGATAGAGTTTCCTCAGTAGAACAACTGACTGTGAGTTTGTAGAACTTTGAGGAACACCATTACATATTATGTGCTTTCCAGAGGACATTACATGCAATGATCTATGTGATATTCTGGTTTTGCCATTTTGACGTCGTGTGAAGCACACTGAAAAAATATTTCAATGGAACTAAATGATTGTGGTTATTCATTACGATTGTAAATAAAAATAGGACTATAGAAAATTGTTAATAATCAAATACTTCAAATACTAAGATGTACGTGATATTATGGTTCTGCCATTTTGAAGTGGTGTGAAGGACACTGAAAACATATTTCATTTCAGTTTTTATGGTCATTCATTACAATTGTAAATGAAAATGGGAATACAATAGGGAAATGAAATCTCACAATTTGAAATGTTGGATAATGGCGTTCTTGAGCATTCAGCTGTAATATCTACGTCATGTCTACAGTCTTTCGTGTTATCAGCTATTCCTTCCCAAAATTAATAGATTACACATTCACCAGTCAAATTTTTAGTTAATGAACAATTAAAACAACATTCAGTCTAGGAATCCCATTCTTTTCTTGCTAATTAACCAAATACATTTTAGGAAGTCCAATTTTTCCATTTGTTGATGTAGTTTGGGAACATCCACTATTTGATTAAGCATACAATAAAATATTGAAGTCAACTTGTACATTGTTTCATCAATTTCCTATATTATATTTGTATTGTTTAACTAAGCATTTGATTGAAAAAAAATTGAGTATAAATGTCGAAATAATAAACATATATATATATATATATATATA